CCTTTTCTCCCTCCTCCTTTTCTCTCCTCCTCCTTTTCTCCCTCCTTCTCTCTCCCTCCTCCTTTTCTCCCTCCTTCTCTCTCCTCCTCCTTTTCTCCCTCCTCCTTTTCTCCCTCCTCCTTTTCTCCCTCCTTCTCTCTCCCTCCTCCTTTTCTCCCTCCTCTCTCCCTCCTCCTTTTCTCCCTCCTCTCTCCCTCCTCCTTTTCTCCCTCCTTCTCTCTCCCTCCTCCTTTTCTCCCTCCTCTCTCCCTCCTCCTTTTCTCCCTCCTCTCTCCCTCCTCCTTTTCTCCCTCCTTCTCTCTCCCTCCTCCTTTTCTCCCTCCTCTCTCCCTCCTCCTTTTCTCCCTCCTTTTCTCTCCCTCCTCCTTTTCTCCCTCCTCTCTCCCTCCTCCTTTTCTCCCTCCTCTCTCCCTCCTCCTTTTCTCCCTCCTCTCTCCCTCCTCCTTTTCTCCCTCCTCTCTCCCTCCTCCTTTTCTCCCTCCTTTTCTCCCTCCTCTCTCCCTCCTCCTTTTCTCCCTCCTTTCTCCCTCCTTTTCTCTCTCCCTCCTTTTCTCTCCCTCCTCCTTTTCTCCCTCCTTTTCTCTCTCCCTCCTTTTCTCCCTCCTCTCTCCCTCCTTTCTCCCTCCTTTTCTCTCTCCCTCCTTTTCTCTCCCTCCTCCTTTTCTCCCTCCTTTCTCCCTCCTTTTCTCTCTCCCTCCTTTTCTCTCCCTCCTCCTTTTCTCCCTCCTTTTCTCTCTCCCTCCTTTTCTCCCTCCTCTCTCCCTCCTCCTTTTCTCCCTCCTTTTCTCCCTCCTCTCTCCCTCCTCCTTTTCTCCCTCCTTTCTCCCTCCTTTTCTCTCTCCCTCCTTTTCTCTCCCTCCTCCTTTTCTCCCTCCTTTTCTCTCTCCCTCCTTTTCTCCCTCCTCTCTCCCTCCTCCTTTTCTCCCTCCTTTTCTCCCTCCTCTCTCCCTCCTCCTTTTCTCCCTCCTTTCTCCCTCCTTTTCTCTCTCCCTCCTTTTCTCTCCCTCCTCCTTTTCTCCCTCCTTTTCTCCCTCCTCTCTCCCTCCTCCTTTTCTCCCTCCTCTCTCCCTCCTCCTTTTCTCCCTCTAACCAGCACAAACACCACCAGAGCCGCGACACTGAGCGGTTCAACCTTGATCGTGAGTCATAGTGTCATTCGTTTATAAAGAAGTGGGCGTTTGGCATCTTGTCTGAATTATGTTCTTGATAATCACCTTATTTTTGACGGCCTGTCAACTGGTTGTCATGAGTCATTCGCTACCGGGTGTAGCGATGTCAGGCATGGCTCTTCGCGAAGGTTAAGAAGAAGTCATAGTGTGTCAAAGTCGCTAGGCGAAGAGCGAAAACCCACTTTGAATATGGACCTTTACACGCGCGCATGCACACACACACACACACACGTACACACACACACACACACACACACACACACACACACACACACACACACACACACACACACACACACGTACACACACACACACACACACACACACACACACACACACACACACACACACACACACACACACACACACACGTACACACGTACACAGTGACATGTATGTGTGTTTTTTAATGTAAAGTGAGTCTGAAACTCGGAACCTGAGTTCAAGAGTACGACAACCCTTACACACAGGCCTACAAATCAGGCTTTTTTATAAGCACAAGACACACGGTAAACATTTTAACGTTTGTCAGCGTTGTCTTGGGCTGTACACATAGAAATACGTACATAGAAATACTTACATTACGTTGCACAGAGCACTGCCGCCTCCTTGTTTAAAAAAAGGTCGTCCTGGACATTCACAAAAGAAAACGAACATTTTCATCAATGTCAAACTTAAAAAAAAAAAAAAAAAAAAAAAAAAAAAAAAAAAAAAAATCGACACAACTTGAATGATCTAGTTTTCGAGGTAGGTTGGCGGTTTCGTGTTCTCTCGTTTCTCTCTTTTCCTTTTTTTCCCTTTCTTTCCTTTCTATTTTTTATCTTCCTCTTTCTTTTTTCTCTCCTTCCTTTCTCTGTCTCTCTTTTCTCTCTTTCCTTTCTCTGTCTCTTTTTTCTCTTTTCCTTTCTCTCTCTTTTCTCTTTTCCTTTCTCTCTCTTTTCCTTTCTCTCTCTTTTCTCTTTTCCTTTCTCTCTCTTTTCCTTTCTCTCTCTTTTTTCTTTTCCTTTCTCTCTCTTTTCTCTTTTCCTTTCTCTCTCTTTTCTCTTTTCCTTTCTCTCTCTTTTCTCTTTTCCTTTCTCTCTCTTTCCTCTTTTCCTTTCTCTCTCTTTTCCTCTTTTCCTGTCTCTCTCTTTTCTCTTTTCTTTCTCTCTCTTTCCTCTTTTCCTTTCTCTCTCTTTTCTCTTTTCTTTCTCTCTCTTTTCTCTTTTCCTTTCTCTCTCTTTTCTCTTTTCTTTTCTCTCTCTTTCCTCTTTTCCTTTCTCTCTCTTTTCTCTTTTCTTTTCTCTCTCTTTTCCTTTCTCTCTCTTTTCTCTTTTCCTTTCTCTCTCTTT